GAGCTCCCATTCCAGAGAGCCTACACAAAGGTGCCTCTGTAAAGAGACAAATGGCCTCCGACGCTCAGAGCATAACCCTTGGCAGGGCTCAGCAAGCGCACGTTGAGTTCTTGGTCGTCCTTCCAGCGAGAGCAACAGCTTTTCCCTGAACCTGCTGAGGAGGCAGAAAGGCTGTGCAAAGCTGTGTTTCCATTCTTGGTTCTCTCCGCTGTCAGTGGGCACTTGTTATTTCCCGAAGCCTTCTCCTGGTGGCTGTGTTTGTTTAGAGACAGCTCCAGGAGCCCCCAGAGCTGTCTGCACAGCATACCTTAGATGTGGTATTTATTTTCTTAGTCCTGTGAACACCTGGGAGGAAAAGCAGAGAAACTGGGATTTATTTTTCAAATTGGTGTCATAATATTGTATAAAAAGGGAAGGAAAAAAAAACCACCCCCAGCTTCTTTCTTTTTCAAGCCAAAGTGTGTTTCCTGTTTGAGTTCCAAGCCCTGGTGGCAGTCTATTCCTGAAGGCAGAGAAGTCAGGCGGGAAAGGCCGTTTGCTGAGGAGACCAGGAGACAAACCATCAGGTGGTTCCTCCAGCCTCTTTGCACCTAGTCCTCCCAGAGTATGACCTGAGGGCCCTTCTGATGGTCTTATTTGTGTACATATGTGTTGCGTATATATTCATAAATATAAATATTTATTTACTGATAGACTTTTCCTGATTTAAAAATATATATTTAGCATAGGAACAGAAAATGGAAAAGATAAAGAAGGTTTTACTCCTCCATTCCACCATTTCCTTGTCAAGACATATTGCCCTGTGATGACTGTGTGATTTAAGGGAAATGAAAGTAGATTCTTATCATAGAGAAACTGAGAATTCTTATTCTGGATCATTAAAACAACCATGAAATATATACTGGGCAGGATTTATTCTTCCATTTATCAGATAAGAAAACCGAGTCTCAGAAAATTAAGAGACTTGTCCATGATATCTTGGCTAATGTGGTTTGGGATGAGGTGCCACTTAAGAAGATACAAAAAAAGAAAAGGATACTCGATAGAGAAAATAACCACACATCTTGGAACAGAGTCATTTCTGGTCACTGAGAAATGATTCCATTTGAATCCAGGTTGCCAGGGAAGAATAAATGTGCAGCACATGTGTGCATAGGCCAAGCCCACATGAGAAAATGAGGCCTCATGATTGATGCTTCTCAATGATGCTCTTTGGCCTGAACTGATGAGAAGTTGGTCTGAGTTGAAGGCACTGAACAGATCATCAAACTCTCCACATATCACCTCATCACGGTCATCATAGTCTCTCAGCATGGAAACAACCCGGCTGGCTACAGGGATAACCTCCGTGGAAAGTCACAGGAGGGCTGAGGTATCTTCTGCAAGGTACTGCCAGCCAGTACGCAGAAGGGTCTCAACAAAGCTCTGTGGGCTTCCTTCAGCTGGTGCTGGCATTACCCTCCTTTCCCGAGAGCAAATGTCTATGGAGCTTCTTCGATAGAAGAAACATTTGCCTTGCTCCCTCAGGCCTCCATCCCCTCTGAGATTCCTCAAGAGGAAGCCTGGGCTCGCTGGACATTGCTCCGCTGAGCTTCCTCTAATCTCCTGGCACTGAGTCAGGAGCTTTGTTCAAGGAAAGGAAAATTACGATTGTGTGTACAAATTGATTCTAACTCTGAAGGAAGCAGTCATCTAGGACCGTGTGGACTGGACATCTAGGACCATCCTGCTCAACCTATCAGTGCAGAGCACCGGGCAAGGGGAAAACCAGGCCACCCGAAGAATCTCCTGAGGAATTGGAGCCATGGTGATGGGATCAACAAGCTCCAGAATGACAGCAGGTACCTTCTTGGAAGCCAATTGATTCTGAAACACACACAGGTTCAGATTTGGGGTCACCAATGCTAAGGCATTTACAGAAGTGTTTGCATGTTTCAGCCCTGATCCCCCAACACTGAGGCTGTTGACACATGGCACTATTATGAGCACATGAAACTGATTCTCAAAGATTCACAAGTCAGAGACTGGCCCTCTGCCCACTCTACTCTAGTGCATAGGACTTACAATGTTGCTTGAGAAACATGTCCCAAGTCTTCCTTAGAGCCAGAGTATAACAAACTTGGGTGGAATTTCACTTCCAATGTGGTACCTTCAGTAAGCCTAGGGTTGGTGTTTATTCTGATCTTGCCACTCATCCCTTAACTTCTGTGACTGTGATTTCTTACTATAGAGTGCCTCATCAGAGTGGACCTCACAGCAACCTCTGAGATTGGCAGAGAGGTATTATCATTCCAATATTAATAATGAAAAACAACAACAACAAGGCTTACAGAGGTTTAGTAACTTCTCAAAATCACACAGGCAGTCGGGGGATAATTCAGTTCTGATTCCTCACCTTATTCTTAGTCTGGCCATGCCACTGACATGTTCTCACCTGCCCCCCACACGTCTACCCCACTAGCAATACAAAGAATAAAACAAGAATCTTTGACACCTTGTGTTGTCCCTGGACTAATGGGCTAGGAGTTGCTATGGCTTGGTCTTTGTGGGTTTCCTCCAATAAGTTGAGAATTGAGATAGACTTAGTAGGATGATTACATTTCAGGTCAGAGACCAGCTCCTCTCAAGAGAGTTCTTTCTACAGATGGAAAAGATATGTTAAAATTGCCAAATAAATTAGGAAATACTTGGCAGAACCTGGAAGAACCTCCAGACTGGCGTTACATAACATGTATATACATTATACATATGCACATTATATAAGGTAACATAGTACTTAATGTGCTGCATATATTATGTAAATTACATATTTGTGAGTAATCATGATAAATATAGAGACCCACTAATCACTTTTTACACATACTCAGTGACAGATTAGGAAGTTTCTTTGCCAGAGAGTCTTAAAACTTACTCTCTCCTGCTGCTTTGGTTCCAACTCCTGCCAAAAATAATTGCATCAACTTTTCCCATCTCCATCCCCCTTTCCTGCTGGCCAAAATTCTCAGTTACCTCCTGTCCCAGCTAGTACCTTCTATGGAATACTACCACAATTGGGATCATAAAAATAGAATCATGTGGATGGGAAGGATCTAGACTCCCAGATTCCCTATGTCACAGGCTTACCTTCCCCCGCCTCAAAACTTGCAGACAGGTGAGTGCCTAATGCTAGTGTTAAAGGAAGAGAGGAAGGGAGACAGGGAGGGAAAGGAAGAGTCTCCGAGCAAGGAAACCAACTCTCCAAGCAAGGAAACATCCTAGTGTTTCTTGGCCACCAGTTCCCAGATCCAGCAATAATCAATCAGGAAGTTATTTCAAACAGAATATCTGAAACCATAATTACCTAAATGTGTTTCGCAAAATACTAGTATCCATAAAATGCTCCATGAAAAAAAAAAGTTCTGTGGTCAAGTACTAGATCCCCTTCTAGGAGATGCATCCAGGGGCTTATCTCTAAAAACTCACAGTAAAGAGGCATAGGGACCTTTATTTGTCTGCCAACATCTATAGATTAGAAACACTGCCTTAAGCCCACTATTTCTTCTTTTTGTTTTGGGGAAAGATGGGAACATGAAAGTAAACATCCTCTGCAATATTCTTCCAAAAAGTAATTTTCTAGGATAAAGAGTGTCCATTCTTAAGAAACTCGTTCTTGTTTCTTCTATGTGATTGTTTAACTACTTTTATTGTTCCCATTGTTCTTCATGTCTTCAAGCTAGAACCTTGGGTCTGGACTCAGCCCTCTGAAGGAATTGGGATTGGGGGAAAATTAAGGAGAAAACATGATAGCTGACAGGGGTCAGGCTTCATCTGTGTAACTCCAGAAAACAGAACTCGGTTTACACAGCACAGTTGTAAAGACGTCTATTTTAACTCCATTTAATGACTGCTCTTAGAGCTGACCTAATAAGGTGAGTGCTACCTTGTGGGGGAATGAACAGCCACCAGCTCTTATAGGGAAAGCCTTGACCCAGTTGGGTGGGAAACAAGCAGTGGTTGTTCTACCTTGTTCAAAAAGCTGTTGAAGTGTTTTTGTAAGCATTAATGTTAAATCAATAGTTCTATTACTTCTTTTTGAACAGTATACCTTGGCTTCTCTTGTTTTTTGAAAGAATGAAAGGTGACTCCCAGAGAGATGTCTGAATAAGTGGATGCTGACCAGTTGTACCACATTTATACATGGGAGGACTAATCTGACTCATTGTACCCTCAAGGGCAGCCAGTGGCAGTGATCTCTCCTTGGTAGCTGTGAGAATTAAAGGAATGAGTTAAAGTATTAAGACAAAAAGAAATTTTGCATCTCTATCGGGGCCCATATTAGCAGTTTGGAATTCTTTTCCTGGTCACAAATACCAGACCTGCATCTGACTTGCAATAACAATGAAAAAGAAACTATCCCACATCTTGAATATCAATCAAATTTTAGAAAGAAAAGAAGAGTAAAATTGTACAGAATTGCACATGGGGCCATTATTTTTAGTCCAGCATATTGGAGTGCATCATGTAACTTTCTACTACAGAGAGGACCAGAGAAGGAAAACAGAAAAGGGAATTCCCATGTATTGTTTATTGGGTGCAAGGCACTGCATCAAAGTCTTTTCATGTGCTATCCCATTTAAACCTTAGAGTAGCCTACCATATGGGCATTGTACTTATTTCACAGGTAAGGAATTCGTATATAGAAAGGTGAAGTACTTATCCAAGATCAGATAGATAGCGAGTGATAGAGCTGGGATTAGACATGGCTCTTTCTCACATCAAAATGTATGCTTTTCTACTATATTTTAGTGTCTTTAACGTTCTTATATAACTATTTTCCACCCTGCTATCATTCTGGGTGAGGTTACATGACATTGTAATCTCCTATCTGGTCAACCTCTGTATATCCATCTAATCATATTCCTATTTAAGAACTTCCAGTGCTTGCCCACATTTAAATTCAACAACCTCCATGGACAGCTGGAACCCACTGCCTCATTCTTGCAATCAAATTGGCAGTCATCCCTTAATCATCAATGTTTCAAATGCTAACTGAATGGGACTCATTTCCCAAGGCCTACATAATAAATTTTCTATTTATCTCTGTGAGTAAGAGAGCCCCAAGCACCCTTCTCAGACTGAAATGCCACTGTCAGCAGTGACTGGCCTGCTTGGGGACGGAGAGCTAGGGTTGTGGAAAGGAACCTCCAGCAAGAAGGCTTTGCATGTGATCCTCATTAGTGATAGGCGTGGGCTGGGCCATCTGTGTTCCACAGGAGAACAGAATGGCAGGCTGCCTTTCACATGCCAAGAGAAGCAATCTAATGGGAAGATCCAGAAAGCTCAAAAAAAGGAGAGGAATTTTTCTTCATGGGCATCTCTGTGGGAAACCAGGGACATAGAAAACCAAAGGTTTTTGGAAATTAACTGCTTCACTTGCTGGGCATTCCACCCTTGCTACCACTTTATTCTTCATGTCCATGGTGCAGGATGGCAAGCAGAGCCCCGCAGCCTCGCCTACTAACTAAACTCCCTTAGATGGAGCCAATGATAAACCTATGTTATCCTGAAATCTGTGAAGGCAAAGGCAGGTACATTATAGCAAGGCATCAGAGTTTGCAATTAAGTCTCCAAGTCTCCCAGGGTCAGGAAACATTGCAAATAGAAGAGACCATTTAATTGGATGCTCAATGCAGATTCTAGAGAAGTAACCGGGAAATATGGAGGGCTACTCTAAATGCAATTTGGAAACAAAGAGGATAACATCTAACCCAGTATTTAATGTGTAGTAGCTAATGAGTAAATATTTGTTAAATGAATTAATAGGTACAGTAAGTATAGTGAGTATCTGTCCTTCTACCCTGGAATAGATAGGGAGGGAGGTGGGGGAGGGGGGATGAAAGCTTTTTAACTAACAACTCAGGAACTTGAAACCACAGGATGTAGAGGGAGCTCATGGGGGCCTTTAACTACCCAGACATCTGTTGACTGATGGATACAGCTAAATATGGATCATCAAAGGGCTTTCTAGGTCACATGGAGGGCAGCTTCATGATTCAGAAAATATGAAATTCAACTTGGACAGAAAGACAGAAATATTTGCATTCTACTTCTTAGAGATCAGGTCAGAATTGACAAAGAATAAAAAAACAGCACACAAGTGGAGTTACAACACAGTAAGAGACCCACATAATAAGATACAGATTCATGAGATGAAAAGAGATAGAGAACTGAAAATTTTTTAGCAGATTTATTTGGGCAAGGGAGATGAGCATGAATACTGTGGTCCAAAAATGGAAAAGGGGACTGAGGAATCTTTTATTTTTAAAGCATAAAGTTGAGGTAATGGTAAAATAGAAATTTCCAGGCATTGATAAAATCATTCCTAAATAGCAACTATCATTTATTGTCCAGTCCAAAGCCTATTACTTTTTTAAATATGTTTTTATTGATTTTAAAGAGGGAGAGGGCGAGAGAGATAGAAATATCAATGATGAGAGAGGATCATTGATTAGCTATCTCCTGCATGCCCTCCCCCCAACTGGGGGATTGAGCCCACAACCTGTACATGTGCAATTCCCTGACCAGGAATTGAAATGTGACCTCCTGGTTCATAGGTCCAACACTCAACCACTGAGCCTCACCAGCCAGGCCAAAGCCACTTTTAGACCACTTTTAAACTTCACAAGAACCTGAAGTTGGTCCTATGTGGTTCCCCATTTGACAAATGAGGAAACTGAGAAACAAATGAGAGCAAACCTCATGCGGGAAGATCCAGGATTCAGATCTGTCAATATCTGCCTTCAAAGTCCATGTTCACACCTGCGGTGCCCTCCCTGGTTCCTCTGAGCTTCAAGCATGGTGA